AACAGAATCAGTATTAAAAATGCATATTCTATTCTATTATAAATTATGAGGACAAATGGAATAATACACAAAATACAACATATCATTGTTTTGTTTTACCATGGGCAGTTATAAGAGAATGTAGTATTGCCCAAATTTACCTTGTTTAATCTTTTTCCCCAGAGCATGACAGTCATTTTTTTGTTTAAAAAATGTAGACTAGAGCAACTCATTTCTAGTCAGTCCTTTATCGTGTAACGCTACTTTAATGACATTCCTAACATTCCTAGCATCCAACTCTATAGTAGTCACAGAATGACTGAAGTTATGGTATATGTGTGATAATGTGTCATAGATTTAAATAAAACATCTTTTAACATTATCATCTGTGTACATAATGAAATACTTGTGAATAAAACATAGCGTCTGGAATTTATTTGAAAATAATTTACTCGTGTGCTGAAGTGGATTGAGACATAGATAAGACAAAGTACGTTGAAGATTATTTGCAGCTGGACAATAGGTGTGTGTGAGATCTCATCATAGCCTCTGTGTATAGATGAACTTTTCCAAAACAGAAAATTTAAAAAGCCAGGTACAAGGCTGGGCATAGTGGTACATTCCTGTAATTACAGTACTTAGGAAGCTGAGGCAGGAGAATCACTAAGACCAGCCTGGGTTTCAAAGTGAGGTCAAGGCCAGCCTGAACTGCATAGCAAGACCCTAACTCAAAAAGACCAAAAAAAAAAAAAATCCAGGTACAAATTCTTTATGATGACAGTGCTGGCAAGATAGCTCAGCTAGGTGAGATGGCTCAGTGGTCTAAAGCACCTACTTAGAACAAGCTTAGCAAAGCACAGGGACCGCGGTTCAATCCCCCAACACCACATGCCAGCCGGCCACGCCCCCTGGTGGGCTGAGCTGGCCACACACACACACACACACACACAAATAAATTTAAAAAAAAAAAAAAGCTCAGCTAACTAAAGCACCTGCTTAGGCAAGCTTAGGAAAGACTGAGCTGGGCAGACTGAGCTGGCCACAAAAAAAAAAAAAAAAAAAGATCTCTATGATGAATGTGATCATTTTGCATATTTAAAATGTACCAATAGGGCTCAGGAGACAGCTCAGTGGTGTAAGTGCCTGGCTGGCAAGCACAAGTTCCTGAGTTTGACCCCCCAGTACCAAAGGGATAAAACAACAACAACAACAATAATAATAAATAAAATGTAACAATACAATCTGATTTTTTTAAATGCATATCTAAAACGAAAATCAAAGAACTCTGAATGTTGGAATGGGTCTGCTACAAACTTATTAAAATACAAAATATAGGGCTGGAAGATGTAGCTCAGTGATAAAAGCGTCTGCCTACCAGGTGTGAGACTCACTTTGATCCCTAGCACTGCCAAGAAATGCAAAATACATTTAAAACACACAGCATTTCTTTAGAGAAATCATTAACTCCATGAAAGAGTATCATTTCAACATTAACTCTTCAGAAGCTGGGGAGAGGAAGAAGGGAAAGCAAGGAAAGCAAACAGAAGATTATATACATATACCAGCTGGGTGTGGAGGTGCATGCCTGTATTTCCTCATTTATCATTACATGATAAATGTTATCATGTAATGCAAACATGTACCAATAAAAAAATCCATTAGCTTTTCAGGGTAAATAATAAACTTTACATTTAAACACTTGAGCTATAAAATGAATTGTTTTTGTCAATGCAGATTTCAGAAATGTTGGAATACAGGAATTACGAACTGATTTCAGAAATGCATGCAGGAAGCCAACCATGGTGGTGCATGCCTATAATCCCAGCACTTGGGAGGCTTAAGTAGGAGGATCACCATGGGTTAAGGCCAGCCTGGGCTACATGATGATTTCATAGCCAGGTTAAACTGCATATCAAGACCTTGTCTCTAAAATAAAACCAAACTGGAGTGGAGGAATTACAAGTGTATCTATTCTAGTTGCTTTTACCATATTCATATACTCCCCTTTTCTCATATTAGCTCTGGCCAAAACCTAGTAAGTAGATGTGACATGTCTCAAATCTGGGCTGAGGCATTCAAAAGCCAGGATACCTATCTAACTTTCCTGTTTCAGCAACAATACAGGTCACATTTTGAGACAGTAGCTGCATAAAATGGAGGAAATGTGGATTACTAAGCCACTGTATGGAAACTCTGTAATGAAGTCTCCTCTGGTTAGTTAAGTCACTGACTGATGTTTTTGGATGTTACTGGAAAACAGCACTATTAATATATAAAGGAAACAGACTCTACCAATGAGGTCCAGCAGAAGCCGTTTATTCAAAGTTACTATAGAAAGTGAGTAGGTCACTATTACTGTTCACAGACTCAAAGACAGGGGAGTAAGAAACTTAGGAAAGGGAAGACTTAAAGTGTGTATATGTAGGTCATTGGCTGAGGGAACATGGAGGGGGCTAACTCTACAAGTGGGGTATCTCATGTGATTGCTCTAAAGAGCATATATCCTTTTCTCTAATTTTTCCTGAACCAGAAGTAGGTATAAAACTTAGAGAAGTTGGTACTCAATTGATTAAGCTATCCCTCTTACCTAGTGGATACCAATACAGGAGACCCTGGAAAGAAACAAGGATTTGGGGATGAGGGGGATGCTCTTTTTCTTTCCCTTCTTTGGTTTTTGGAGATCTCGGTCGGTCGGTCTCTCTCTCTCTCTCTCTCTCTCTCTCTCTCTCTCTCTCATCCATCTTTATTTTGCTTTTTCCTTTTTCACCTTTTTCTTGTTTGTACCTTTCTGTTAAGTTTTATCTAATTCTATTAATTTTCTTTTACTCCTTGATAAGCTCCCTAGCCCATTATCTCAGTGCATGCCTACAATCTCAGCACTTGTAAGGCTGAGGCAGGAGGATGCTATAAATCTGAGGTCAGCCTGGGATACACACTTTAAAGCTAGCCTGTCCTATACAGCAAGACTATGTCTTTAAAAAAAAAAAAAAAAAAAGACTATATCTCAAAAACCAAACAAAACAATTGAGATCCAACTTTTCTCTCCTACTTCTATCTTCCTTTACTTTAAAATTTTAAGGAGTGGGGCTGGGGAGATGGCTCAGTGGAATAAGCACTTGCCTGGCAAGCACAAGGGCCTGAGTTCAATCCCTGGTTCTGCCAAAAATAAACAAATAAAGAAATAAAATTTTACTTCATTTTCCATTTCCCAACCCTTCTATCATTATTAGATTACTATTAAGCTTTCTTAATTTCTAGATATTTAGCTAACTATGCTAATACTGTTGAATCATTTTCTATTATGGTGATATAGTCCCTGCATCTAGCATATATTTACTCTACGTCAATATTTGGCTTTTCTGTCTATATTATACTACCAATGTCTTTTCTACTATTAAGTGTGATAAGTGTGATATAGTGATTTTTTAAAAATGTATTTGGTTGTTATAGGGTCTTACTACCCAGCTTGGGCTCATAATAATCCTCCTGTTTTCAGCCTCCCAGGTGCTATGATTACAAACACACGCCACTATGCCTGGACTCTGTGGCCAGCTCAGCCTGCCCTGGGGGCAGGGCTGGCACAGCATGCGGTGCCAGGGATCAAACTAGGGTCCTTGCACTTGCCTAAGCCTGCCTAAGCAGATGATTTAGTCTGCTGAGCTATCTCACCAGCCCTAGTGATAGTTTTCATTGGTCTATATGGTATATCAATCTCCAGTCTGTCCTCATTCTAGTATAGCTGCTGATTTTATTGCCACTGTCAAGGTGGTACAATTGCTAATAATTTTTTACTTTATGCCAATATAGTACCTGATTAGAGTCTGTGTCATTAATACAATGGTACATTTCCAGAGAACTGGGAGCTGGGCAAATTACACTGCACCCGCTCCCACAATTAACAGCAGAGGCTGGACCATAAGACAGAGGAAAGAGCTATAGTTAGTCACCTCTAGAGTGCATCACTGGAAAGCAGACATAAATTAACACTATCAACAGAGTCTTTCTACTATAATAAACTCGTAACCTCAGCACACACAAAAATAAAATAAACATCAGAAAATAAGGCAATGGGGCTGGGGAGAAGGCTCAGTGGAATAAGCGTTTCCCTGGCAAGCGCAAGGGCTTGAGTTCAATCCCCGGTTCTGCCAAAAAAAAAAAAAAAAAAAAGAAAGAAAGAAAATAAGGCAACAAATTGCCTCCAAAGTGCTTCTCAACTCACTGATTTGGAGGAAATAAAAAATCAAACAGCTGAATTATATGAAATGATAAAAAAATGATCAAAAACCAAAAAAGACTAATAAAGTACTCAACAAACTCAAAAATGATGTAAAGAGAAAATGGACTTAATAAAATGAGCAGTGAGCTTACCTAAGACACTTTTAGAAAGCCAGCTAAAACAAAATGATAGGAAACATGACTGACTAGTTTAGCAAAGAACTGGAGTCTGCAAAAAGATACAAAACAGAAATCCAAGAGATTAAAACTTCTGTTAAAATTATGAGCCACAAAACCAACCAAGCTGAGGACAAAATGTCAGAGTTGAAAGATAGGCTAGAATGTGGTAAACACACACTCAGAAACTGGATCAAACAACAAAACCTAATGTAATGCTTTATACAGAAAAACCACACTTAATCAAAAAAGAAATTGAGAAACTAAAATGCAAAAGAATGAAAAACAATATTCCATGCAACAGGACCTCAAGCAGAAGCAGGCGTAGTTATCCTTTTTTTCAGGAAAAGTGGATTACAAGTCAAAAGTGATCGTAAAAGGCAAAAAAGGTGACTAGATATTAAGTGAACAATTCAACAAGAGATAATTAAAAACATAATTTATATATTTGAACACCAGCACACCCAACTTAATAAAACTATAAAAAATCAGATAGACATGAACATAATAACAGTAAAGGACCTCAATGCTCCAATTTCACAAACACATAAACTACACTTACACACACACACACACACACACACACACACACAAAGAAATATCAAAGTTGAACCACACTTTTTGAAAAAAATAATACGAAACAATTCACAAATTTGTGTGTCATCCTTGTGAGGGGCCATGCTAATCTTCTCTGTATCTGAAGCACACTTTTGAAGACTTAGCAGAAAGCTACAGAATATTCCCCAATGACAACAGAATACACATTCTTTAAAAAAGGAAACGGGCTGGTGAGATGGCTCAGTGGTCTAAGGCACCTACTTGGAACAAGCTTGGCAAAGCACAGGGACCACGGTTCA